CTGACCCTTTTCTTCCCATTTCATGCTTTCACAGTGGAATAAAAACTGTTACTTTCACAATTTTTAGTTTCTATCGTATCAATAAAATTAACTAGGCTATTCAGTTTTGATCAAATGTATTTTTCTGATTATATTCTAACCACAAAGTTGGCTCATTTTGTGTAGCTACACCCTGGCAGCCATGTTTGGCCTATTGAACAGAAGAGGATGTAACAGTGGTGTTGACATAGCTTTATTGTCAGTTCCTCTAAGGTGTTAATCGGACAGAGGATTATAACTAAAGTTAAATCATGGAAGGTACTAACGTTAGTACCTTCCATGGATAAATGAAAGGGGTGCCCACAGTTGCATGTCCTTGTTCTCTAAGGTCACAGTCCAGAGGGACTGTGCTAAGGTCTATGGTTTTACTGGCCTCATTTGAAGAAAAATATTCAGAACATAACAATGGTGGAAGAATTCTGTTTGGTCTAAACCATAGGTATTATGATTTCACATGCGTCCCACCTTCGTCTTCATACCCGGCAAGGAATCCGATGTCAGTTATACTCCCGTCAGTTACCATGGTGACAGCCATCTGATTGCCAGAGGAATAAACGGCGCTAGGGAGATCGCCACAGTATTTTCCAATCAAAGTATCCGACGTGGACGGGCCATCATACACGGCTATGAAGTCATTACTACAGGGTGAGCTGTACTGAATTTTAAAGTCGGTGAAATACAGCATAATTTTCTGAAAAATAAACAAAAATGAAGAAAAGACTGTGTTTCAATGTGTATTTAATTGGTATTGTTATATTTATTATCAAAGGTATGTTTAGATGTAATAAATATGAACTACTGTGAGTCGTACACATTGCATAGAACCCGAATCGTAAACAACACGATGCGACCAGCGTGGGGCTTTAGAGATATATTATAGACTAAAACATGTATATATATATATTTTAATATCGATGTTTGATACTTCATGTTAATTAAGGGACGACGTCAAATGATCGATGTCGGATAAAAAACTTATTTCCTTTAGTTTGGGGGTGGGGGGTTTTGACCTCAAAAAGTTTCCATCCTACAAAAAACGATTTTATTTTTAAATGAAGTCAAAAAAATCTTGGAGTATTTGTATTTTTTTTCTATCCAATCATGGACAGAAATAACCGAAAAGGGAAAAAAATAGAAAAATGGTTTGGTTCGAGTGTTCGAGTGCGTCAAATGAGGTGCATTTGTAAAATCTTTTTACACCCACCCGACAACCAACTGCTACGCAATACTACTGTCCGATTATCAATTTGTATTTAATGGTGAATGTAGTCTGACGCCATGACCAATATTTATCAATTAAGTTTTAGTGGGGGTAGGAGGGTTTGGAAAAAAACTAAAGGAATTAAGTTTTTTATCCGACATCGATCTTTTGACGTCGTCCCTAACAAGTGGCAAAAAAAAATAGTTTGCAGCACACGCATTAGTATTTGATGAGTGCAATTGGAAACAAACTAATACGCATGTGCAGTGATTTTAATTGTACGTACCGGAACAATTATCGTAAATGGGTATTAGTAAATGTAATTGTTTCATCGAACAAAAACTCCGCTGTATGCTACAAGAACCACGTATATATCTATCTTTTTCTCGTTTCAGAATCTTCGTTTTTGTGCTACATTTTTCAACACGTCGAAAGCATCTACACTGACGTCACTTCTACTACAGTGTGAGGCTGTATGGCGTATATTGAGTGTATATGTCTTTATTTTTTACTAATGTGTTAATGCATTAGGCCTAAGAAAATCGAACTATTAAACGACAATGTAAAAATTTGAAATGAGTAGTGGTTGCGTATTAAAAATCACAAAACGTTGAAATAGTGGTGTTTTTTTAATCACATAGTACAAGTATCGCCACGGTAGAATAAGGCCGATCCAGCCACCTTGTCGCAATATTTGAAAAGTTGACCAGTCTTGCCATTTCACTAACAAATCAAAGTTACACAATTCAAGCAAGCAGTACCATTTGATGCATTCTGTTTTTCAATACACACACGTGATTACATAGAAGTTCATGTGTATTACAAATGTAATACGAGTTAGATATGTATTACACACGTAATGCCCATGTATTACATTACGTTATATCGATATATTACAAGTATTGCACGTGTACTACAGTATTCTGAAACGCAGTTATACCTTTGCAGTGTCCACAGTGATTACCCACTCACAATTCAAATTATGTGCATAGAGAGATGTACCATCGTAACCTGGGCTGCTAAATGTGTCACTTGCACCTGTAAAGCTTTCCGATGCACCGCAAGTGTCAGCTGAAACAGATGAAAGGTCAGGGGTCAATGTTTGTCTAAATACATATTTGAAAACATCACATTGTAAAGTTTGGAAAAAGTTTCACCCTTCATTGTAACTTCATCAAATATGAGCGTGGTAGAAAAACCGTAATATTGAGTCTACTCTTATCTCCGATGAACTTCTCTGTCAATCTTGCACTTGAAGTTGTAAATGCAACAATTATTACTGCTTTCATTCGGAAAGATATTAAACCATCGCACAGTATTTTGGGATAGTTTGCATTTAACCGCCTAACCAGATCTCTAACGACGTTGTGGCTCAGTCACATAATCATATTTTTTACCAGCCTCCAATTGTGACATCTAGGATTTGGTACACTTAATATAGATTTCGATGTTATTATTGTGCTCATAAAATGGCAATTATTAGCCGAGACGCCAGAAGAACTACGATAAGAAAAAGTGTCTTACATGAACAGCCTGTTTCGTCGCTGTTGTCAGGACAATCGTTATTGGAGTCACAGACCAAGCTCGCTGAGATGCAGGAGTCACCTGACACGCAGCGGAACTCACTTGGCGTGCATTGCCCTGCAATACAAATGTACCCGTACATTAAATAAACGCGAACAAGACCAACTTAATTAGACCCCAGGCATTACACGATAATAAATCAAAGTATGTCTGCTATTTTGACGATCGTACACAAAAGTCTATGCACATTGCAAAATATAACATAAAGTGGATATAAATATTGTTATTACGATAGATTATTTATTACACGTTTAAATCATGTTAGTTAAATCAATTCAGCCCAAACTGACCAAAGCAGTTTTGCACGAATCATGCCACGCACGGCAGGTCGACACATTCTTCGAATGGAATTTCTCAACGTTGATGGCGCTCTCACCTACTGCTGTATAAGTTGCCTGGAAACCAGTATATTCGATAACGTGGTCAGTTAAAAATTTAATGTACATGGTAGTACCAGTGGAAGCAAAGGATGATGATGGCAGCGAGTACCCGCAATATTTAATTATTTCTGATGTTGAGGTCGCATCACCATCAAACAGGATGACGTAATCATAACCACATCCTGTCGCGTCTTCAATGTCCATTGCAGTGAAAGTCAACTCTACTATCTGGAAACAATAGCATGCATTCCACGACGATAACAACATAATATACATATAATATACATGAAATAATGTAACTGAACACGGAGAAAACACATACATATACACATGTTAGAGCCGTTAAAATATGATATTAATATGTGTATGTTTATTTCAGGGTAATGGAATGGAATGGAATGTGACAATAATAAGACGATTGTAGTAAAATCTGTACCTCGCCAGTGTTAGCTTGTATAACCCATTCACATATAGAACTGCTATCGTATAATGTAGATCCATCGTAGTTCATACTAGAAATGGTCCCACTACCCGCTGACAAATAACGATCGCCACCACAGTTCGACGACACTCCTGCAAAATGATATGAACACACATATCCTTCTAAATGTACATGAATACTATTTTGCCATGGTAGAACTAAATGAAAGTATTAGGGACCAACTTTAGGCTATAATAATACTTCAGTGAAACAACAACTTGTGTTTACATTATCAAATGATCTACTTATATATGGATTTATGATTCAAATGAATTGACTGTCATTGTAATCAACGAGTTAAAAAAACGTTGATTTTTCCAACATTACAGTAAGTTTATTCCATTCTAAGCGTTGTTTCGCACTTGTGAATGTACAATTCCGTAGTGTCACTGATACGGTCAGACAATTTATGCTCCTGTATAATTAGGTCATGTGACTATCCCCTCTGTTCATATTAGATTGCTATTGATATACTTGAGAGTATCGCAAACCTACTCATCACCAGTGCCAACGTTCGAAACCAGCGTGACTGCGACAAACTTCAAACCCCTTACCTGTATATCCTACAGCTGCATAGTCCAATGAAAAGCCTCCAAGTTGCCTCTGTGCATCAGTTGTGAACTGCATGTACACTTTATTAGACGATGATATTTCTGTCTCCGGCAGCTCTGGACCACAAAAGTGACCGAATGCAGAATGATATACAGTGGGGCCGTCATATATACTCAGAATGTCGTACGCACAGACGGAATGGTACTCCAAATCGAAATAATTAAACGTCAACTCGATTAGCTGGTAAAATTAAAATGAAAAGAATATATGTATATATCTCATTGAATACTATTGAAATATGTCTATACATTTGTAAATAACAATTGATAAACATTGTCACGTGACATATGACACAATTTTTCAAAAAAAAAAAATGATTAGTCATCCAGGACAGTCCCCGACCACATGTATGTTTTCGGGTTAGGAAGAAAAAGAAAAAAAAACGATTGGGCAAAACAGTTCAGTTCGAGATATATGTTAATACGACATACCTTATTACTAGCAACTTCTATTAACCATTCACACTGTGCATTCATAGCATACGTGGAGAAGCCACCATCGAAATTCATACTCGTAACTGTCCCGGATGAGCCACTTAGGTAATAATCGCCTCCGCATCCAGAAAACCCGACTGGGAAAATAAAATATATAACAAAACGCCGATCATAAGTGGAATGTGCTGCAATCAGGCTAGACAGACAAGTATTTTTTATAAAAGATTTGCTAAAATGAATTATGTTCAATTCGCCAGCTATTTAACTTTTCTGTCACAGAAGTGTGATTGTTGCACAAAAAATCCTGCCATCTACGTCATGCAAACGTCATAGAAGTCGCGTCGTCGCTAGAGGCTGCGAATAATTCTGATATAAGTGTCTTTGGAATTCGTAATTTGTAATAATTGAAAAGAAATCTGATAACAAATTCGACGTAGGTACATACGTGTGGCGGTGCACATTGTTTGTATTACTGCATCATATCACATGAATATTATCACGCGCAGCTGACAGCTTCAGAGGGTTCTTAACAAATTAGAATGCGCCTTATTTAAAAGCGGCCCGATTCAAATCAATTGTATCACAACGATTGGCAGTGATATCTAAACAACACAGACGATAATGACG